ATTAAAATTTTCCTTCTGTGTATTTTTCTTTCTGAAGAAAGCGCCTTAGGTCCCAGGCCTAGATACTTAAAATGACCACAGCCCCTTTGGGCTGTGGGTAGGGAAGGGACAGGAGCGTTGGAACAGATGGTGCAACGAGCAGTTATAAATAGCAGTAATGCATTGCAGACTTCTTGAATTGGTAAATCTGGGGACAGGAAGTTAATGGTATAAAGGCAACCAGGTGTCTAATATAACAGGAAGAATAAATTCTTCTGTTACAAGCTTCAGATTCTATTCATTTCCCTAAATCTGGCACATTCCTGCTTTTCTGTGGAAGGAAAGTTTTTCTAGTGGATGTTGTCTAGTACTGTCTTAAGGAAAGCTGAGATCTTCAGGTGAGGGTTCCTGGAGTAAGTCTATACCTTTATCATTGTCTTTGGAAGCTGGAGACTAGGAGATTCTCAATGGCTTTATATTCTCAGTTGCAACTCAGTCTCCATAGAAAAGATCACCCACTGTGCTAGGACAAGTCATCCTGGTTGCCTTGATCACCTCAGCTTGGCTTTCTGTCTCATTTTAGTCTTATTGATCATTGCTATTCCCTGCTTCTCTGCCTGGCATAGAGTACTTTTTTTCTATCATTCAAGTTTGTATGCTCCCCAGAAGCCTCCAGACTGAATGTGCAGTTGATTCTTTATCTTTGTTTCATTGATGCAGGAAAAAAAATGCCACTCAACACATCAAAGGGAAGCAAAGAGTATGGCTTCGCAGATGTATTTTGTTAATGTAACTGGAATCTGGCCACAGGTAAGTTTGTATGATCTGACAGGATAAATAGGTTGCTTTCTAAGTCTGATCTAACATTCTGAATCTATCATTTTGCTGTCTTTGGTAACAGAAACCAATTCCAGTCTCCAGTTCCTTTTATGTGAAAGAACAATTTCCTCCTGCTACACTGGAGATACCTGGACATTTTGTACTCTTTACTGAACAGTGAAATTGATTCTAACAACAACACAAAAAGCTTCACTGGTCTAAGGTAGGAATAGAAGGAAGACAGATATTTAGTCTGAGTCAAAGAGGCAGGGTTACTGGCAAATACTGTTCTCTTGTCAAGACTTACGTTGACATAGGCTGAGAGCTCTAGATGTGCTAATTACCTCGGTCTTGATTGAAAGGCGTCTACAAGGTAAATCTGTTAAGAGATCTCTAAAAGGAGACTAAAACCTATATATCTACACCTTATTTATCTACTATTTTGTTATGTGGCATTTTGCATTTACAACAGCTTTGAAAAAATTATCAGGTGACAGCTCAGATGGTACCCCATATGTGCAGCCAGGCATGGGTTGCTCTCTGTGGGTTATCCTGAATGCTATATTGGGGGTCCTGGTGATGAATGGTCTATGAGAGAGATGGTAAATGACCCACCATGGGATACCTTCTCCCATTCATTCTTGATATTTCGGTTCAGCTATTAAAGGTGTGTGTGTGTGTGTGGGGGGGCAGCGGGATAACATTAGGTTTCAAGTGGGCAGGGGAAGGAAGGTTGGACAAAAGCCTGAAGGTACCAGAGAGGTCACTGGGGAGAGGCACCAATGCAGGAGATAAGGCATGGTCACGCTTTGCACTTGACTCACCAATTTCACAAAACAATCTGGCCTCTGGAACCGGTAGATAAGTGAGAAGTGGGTGCCATTTTGAGCTGACCCGGAGGTGGAACCGATTATAGAAGCTCACATATACAACCCAAGAACTATAAGATGCTGGATGGCCAACATTAATACAACTCATATAGTAAATCAAATAAAAGGAGAAATATTTAGTTCCTCCAAGTGATTGATTTGTACTGTGTATCACCGTAACCACTAGCCAAGTATGGCTGATTTGAATTGCACTGTGTTGTTAGTATAAAATACACTCCTGATTTTGGAGAGTTAGTACAAAAAAAAAAACAAAACATAAATATCTCTTTAGTAATGTTTACATAAAAAATGGGTAATGTGAAATATTTATTACTTGTTAATGTGATACTATATTGGATATATTGACTTAAAAATTATTGTTACCTTTTTCCTTCAATATTTTAAAATGTGGCTAATAGAAATTTATAGACCCCTGGTAGCATAGTGTATTATGAACTGGGTTGCTAACTGAAAGGTCAGCAATTAAAATCTATCCATCACTCCACACAAAGATTTACAACCTCAGAAACACTCTATTGGATCTCTGTGCATCGGAACCGACTCGATGGCACACAATCACCACAACCACTACTAGAAATTAAAAATTTCATATGATTTCACTTAGCATTTCTATTGGACAGGACTGCTGTAGACTGTGATTATATATGAGGCAAAACAGAAGGGAAACATTTTTCTTCCAACCTCTGAATCTGTCTTCAGACATTCACGTCCCTTTCACTGTTGAGAAATAGACTTCTGTTCTCCAAGAATAGAGAGGAAAACTGACTCTAGGAGCATCCAACACTCATCAGGACTACTGTTGTTGTTGATTAAAACTGACTGAGATTGTTGTTGTTGTCGTTCAGTGTCATCGAGTCGATTTTGGCCCATAGCGACCCTGTATAGGGTTTCCAAGGAGCTGCTGGGGAACTTGAACCACCGACCTTGCAGTTCACACGGCTTTGCAGTCTGGCGCATTAACCCACAGCACCACACCAAGACTCCAGGTTAGCTCATAAGAACCTTACAATTATTTGCTACTGCTCTTTGTGTACTAGACTGGGTTTTTGACTGATGGAGGATACCAGTGCAGTTAAGATGAAAACAGCAGTTGCTGCTGTCCCTCACTCTTGGAATAAATCTGTTAAATTAAAATTACTGGATACGTGAAACTTCTTGGGCTCAAAACAGCATTCTATGTTAGACAATTGGATCATTTTACATATTTTTAAAATCTCAGTCTATTCCTTTTTCAGACTTCTTTATGGTGGTTTAGTGTGTGTGGTGTGGTGCTGTGGGTTAATGCCCTGGACTGCAAAGCTGTTTGAATCCCAGTGTCGGCAATTGAAGCTAACCAGCCGCTCCTCGGAAACCCTGTACAGGGTCTATGGGTCAGAAATATCTCGATGGCACTTAACAACAGCAACAATGGTGGCTTAAGGAGCTCTGGTAGCGTAGTGGTTATGAGTCAGGCTGCTAACCTCAAGGTCAGCGGTTCAAAACTACAAGCCGTTTCTCAGGAGAAAGATGAAGCTCTCTGCTCACGTAAAGATTTATAGCCTTGGACACCCTATTCTGGGTCGACTCCACGCACACCACCACCACCACCATGGTGGCTTAAATACACCTTGGAAACCCTATACAGGGTTCCTGTGAGTCACAAGTGACTCCACAGCACTTAGCACCACCACCAAAGTTCCTGTTAGAGAGCCCTGGTGGCCTACTTAGTGGTTAAGTACTCAGCGGCTAACTGACAGGTCGGTGATTTGAACCCACTGACAACTTCCTGAGAGAAAGATGTTTCAGTCAGCTTCTGTCAAGATTTAGAGCCTTAGAGGAGTTCTAGTCTGTTCCGTTGTTGTTGTTTTTAAGTGCCGTCGAGTCGGTTCCGACCCATAGCGACTCTGAACAGGGTTTCCGAGGTTGTAAATCTTTACGGGAGCAGATAGCCTCATCTTTCTCCTGAGGAACCGCTGGTAGTTTCGAACTGCTGACCTTGTGGTTTGCAGCCCGATTTGTAACCACTACGCTACCAGAGCTCCTTAGTCTGTTCCGTAGCATTAGTGTAAGTTGAAGCTGATTCTACGGCAACAGGTGTGTGTGTAAATTCCCATTTTTTTGATGTAAGAGTTACTCATACCTCTAATTTCAGGGAGTGCTGTGGCTCCATAGGATAAGCGCTGAACTGCCAATCACAAGGCTGGCTGTTCTAGCCCATCAGTTTCTCCATGAGCGAAAAATGAGGTTTTTCTGCTCCCACAGGGATTGAAAGTCACAAAAACCCTATACAGGGTCAGTGTGAATCATAACCGACTTGAAGGGCACTTAACAACAACAACAACAACAACCATTGTCGGTTTTCTTAGGAGCAGCTGGTGAGCTTGAACCACCAACTATGTAGTTCAAGCGACTTTGCAGCCTGGTGCATTAACCCACAGGGCCACACCAGGACTCCATAACAACTGACTTCAAGTATTCTCTTGTGACCCACTTAGGTCTGGTATCTCCTTTCTTAGTGCAGTTTTCTCTTGCAGGAAGGACAGACAGAGCTCATCTCAAATAAAAGGTGTATGCATCCTTATCCTCTTCTTTAGCACAGTTCTGCTGGTTCTGGTGTGGTCTGTGATTGATCTGCTTTAGCAGTAGGACTTACAGTGTATTTTTGTGGCAGCAGAAAATTGTAGTAACTGAAGCTTCAACTATGAATCCCAATTACTTGGTTCTAGAGTATGGCTTCACCACTGTACTTTTGTTTCTTCATCTGTTAAAATTGGAAATGACAATGGTTCTTCTTTGATTGTTGTTATTGTTAAGTGCCTTCGAGTTGGTTCTGACCTGTAGCAACCCTATATAGGGTTTCCCAGGAGTGGCTGGTAAACTTGAACCGCCGACCTTGTGGTTCAAACCGACTTTTCAGTTTAGCTCATTAACCACAGTGTCACACCAGGATTCTTCTATTACAGGGAGGATAATTACATAATTAAACAGCCAGATTTAGAAAATATCGCTCCTCAGAAACCCTATACAGTGTCGCTATGGATGGGAAACGACTTGAGACACTTAACAAGAACAAGAAGAGTATAAAGTGACATTACAAGGAATTTTCACAGGCAAATCAGGAATTTGTCATTCTTCTATTAGGGTTTTTAACAAAATGGGTGGATTTGTAAATATAAAGCACTTATTAAGAGTGCCAGGTGCTTAACTGTTACTATTTTTCAATGCTTTTTAAGAAAATGTTCTTTCCTCATGGGTAATCATTTAGTCTGGATGGATTTATTTCTGTTCTACCTTCCAAGGTTTTCAGCATTATCTGCTCTGAAGTGTCTGATCAGGAGATGGTACATGGCATCACCCAGTAACTCCTCCACTGCTCCAGTCTCTGAATTCCTTCTCATCTGCTTCCCTAACTTCCAGAGTTGGCAGCACTGGCTCTCCCTGCCACTCAGCCTCCTCTTCCTCCTGGCCATGGGGGCCAACGCCACCCTCCTGATCACCATCCGGCTGGAGGCCTCCCTGCATGAGCCCATGTATTACCTGCTCAGCCTCCTCTCCCTGCTGGACATTGTGCTCTGCCTTACTGTTGTACCCAAGGTCTTGGATATCTTTTGGTTTGACAACAAGACTATCAGATTCTCTGCCTGTTTCCTTCAAATGTTCATTATGAACAGTTTCTTGACCATGGAATCCTGCACGTTTATGATCATGGCCTATGACCGCTATGTAGCCATCTGCCACCCCCTGCGGTATCCATCCGTTATTACTGACCAATTTGTGGCTAGGGCTGCCATTTTTGTTGTGGCCCGGAATGGCCTTCTTACTATGCCTATTCCTATACTTTCTTCCCAACTCCGATACTGTGCAAGAAATATTATCAAGAACTGTATCTGTACTAACATGTCTGTGTCCAAACTCTCTTGTGATGACACTACCTTCAATCAGCTTTACCAGTTTGTGGTGGGTTGGACCCTGCTGGGATCTGACCTTATTCTTATTGTTCTCTCGTATTCCTTTATTCTGACAGCAGTGTTTAGAATCAAGTCTGAGGGAGCTGCAGCCAAAGCTCTAGGCACTTGTGGCTCCCACTTCATTCTTATCCTCTTTTTCAGCACTGTTCTGTTGGTTCTGGTCATCACTAACCTGGCCAGAAAGAAAATCCCCCCAGATGTTCCTATTCTGCTTAACATCTTACATCACCTCATACCTCCAGCTCTGAACCCAATTGTTTATGGGGTGAGAACCAAGGAGATCAAGCAGGGAATCCAGAAATTGCTGAGAAGGTTGAAGACATGAAATGAAGGTAAAGCAGACCTGACCTTGGGAACAGAAATCGACAATATAGAATAATTTTCATGCTACATACAAAACTTATATAGGTGCCACACAAATACATTTGGAAGTGTGGAAGTGTGGAATGGAAGCAAAGCAGAACTGGAATTTATTGTATTTTTTGGGAGGTGAGAGAGGGATTCTGGAGTTAATTGGAAGTTTTCCTAGGGACTTGTCTAGCCATAATTACAGGAGATTAATTAGAGTAGAATGGTTTGTGAATTAAAGAATAAATTTCATTACAATCTTAAAAATGCTTTTAAATTTCCAGAATCGCTTAATATACAGATGCACATTACCTCTCTTGGTTCAGACTGACAGAGCTCAGCCTGGTTTTGTGTCATAAATGGGTCTCTACCGAATAAACTCCAGAACTTTGATTCTTATAGGTGAATGAGTGACATGCTCCATCCATTGCCTCTTCTAGTCTTGCTGGATCTTGTTCATATTTTTAGATAATGCCACTTCACTGGCAGATGAATTTCTGATTGTTTTTAATGAGTATTTTCTATTTTAAGAAGATTCCTTTTTGTGTGTGTGTGTGTTTTAAGTTAGAGCGCACTTTTTTTTTTTTTTCAGATGTGCAATAACTTATGCAAGTTTTGGCTTCATTGTATCCTAGTTGAATTCACCATCAGATTTCAGGCACCATCTGCATCCTCTCCTTCTCCTGCCTACCTTGATATAAAATTACATTGTTTTATTTTTAACTGTACTTTTAGCCCTGTTGGTTTCAGTTCTGGTCTCCTGTGTTGGGGCCAGCATAGCTTCCCATAGGATTCAGGCATCCAAATTGATGAGTTTGCTGAACAAACATAAGAGTGTTTTATGTTTTGAAGTTGCCTTCCTGATCATATCCTGAATTTGGTGGAACTTAGATGTTGAAATTTTGGTGTGGGATGCTGTTGGGTAAGCACTGGACTGCTATCTGAAATGTTAATGATTCAAACCCGTCAACTACTCCTCAGAATCCTATACAGGGTCATTATGAGTTGGAACTGACTTGACAGCACTTGGCAACAACAACAACAACGAGCATAATTCAAGGATGTCTCCTAACATAGTGGATCTATAATGACAGTCAGCTTGGAACGCACTCAAAATACCACTGGTGAAGAGTTGCCTCCTAAAAGTAAAGTTGACCGTGGTGGCATGAATGGAGTAAAGTTTTCGAGATCATCATTTGCTGATAGGGCACAACTCAAAATGAGTAGAAATAGCTGTAAACATCCATTAATAATCAGAAGTGGAATGTTTAAAATACTAATCTAGGAAAATTGCAAGTGGTAAAAAATGAAATTGAATGTATAAACATTGATATAGGCATTAATAAGCTGAAATGGACTGGTATTGGTCATTTTTAATCTGACAATCACAATGTTTACTATACCTGGAATGAAAAATTGAAGTGGAATAGTGTCACATTCATCATCACAAATCATATTTCAAAATCTGTTAAATGCTGTTTGTGATACAATAATATCCATACACCTACATAGAAGATCCAACTTTTATTCAAATTTATACACCAACCACTAAAAGCCAGTGGTGATGAGATGGAAGAATTCTACCAACTTCTTCAGTTTGAATTTGATCATATATTTAATCAAGATGTATTGATAATCACTAGACATTGGAATACAAAGGTTGGAAACAAAGAGGAAGGATCAGTAGTTGGAAAACATGGCTTTGGTGATAGAAGGAATGCTGGAGATCTCGTGATGGAATTTTGCAAGACCAATGACTTCTTCATTGCAAATATCTTTTTTAAACAACATAAAAGATGACTATACACATGGACTTCACCATCTGGAGTACACAGAAATCAAGTTGACTACTTCTGTGGAAAGAGATGGTAGAAAAGCTCCATATCATCAGCCAAAACTAGTCCAGGGGCAGACTGTGATCAGACTATCAATTGCTCACATGCAAGTTTAGACTGAAGCAGAAGAAAATTAAAACAAATCAAGAGCCAAAATATGATCTTGAACATATTCTACCTGAGTTTAGAGATCATCTTAAGAACCGAATTGCTGCATTAGACACTAATTACTGAGCACCAGAAGAGTCATGAGATGAAATGAGGAACACCTGTTCAAAGTCATTTGCACAGAGTACCTTGTTAATAAGTCTTCCTCCAATCCTGATGCAACATTCTTCTTCATACGATACAGTTTCTTGGATTATTTGCTCAATGTACGGATTGAAAATTATGGTGAAAGGATACAACCCTGGTATATAACTTTCTTGATTTTAAACAATTTGGCATCAGCTTCTTCTGCTTGAAATCTGCCTCTTGGTCTATGTACAGGTTCTTCATGAGTATCATTAAATGTTTCAGAATCATTCATTCTCCTCAATGTTGTCCATAGCTTTCCATGATCTACCTAGTTGAAAGCCTTTGCATAGTTAATAAAGCACAGGTAAACATCTTTTTGGAGTCCTGGTGTGGTGCAGTGGGTTAATGCACTGGACTGCAAAGTCAGTTTGAACCTCAAGGAAGGTGGTGCAAGCTCACCAGTGGCTCCCCGGAAACCCCACATAGGGTCAATATGAGTAGGAACTGACTTGACGGAGAAAACAAAAATCCTCACCACTGGACCAATAAACAACATTCTTATCAATGGAACAATGATTGAAGTTGTCAAGGACTTCATTCTTCTTGGATCAACAATCAACACTCACAGAAGCAGCAGTCAAGAAATCAAATGGCGTATTACGTTAGGCAACTCTTCTGCAGGCGACTTTTTTAAAGTGTTGAAGAGCAAAGGTGTCAGCTTGAGGACTAAGGTGCACCTGACCCAAGCCATGGTATTTTCAATAACGTCATATGCATGCAAAAGCTTGACAGTGAATAAGGAAGACCATAGAAGAATTGATGCTTTTGAATTATGGTATTGGAGGAGAATATTGAAAGTGCCATGGGCTGCCAAAAGAACCAACAGATCTGTGTTGGAAGAAATGCAACCAGAATGCTCCTTGAAGGCCAGGATGACCAAACTTTGTCTCTCATACTTTGGACATATTGTCAAAAGGGACCAGTCACTGGAGAAGGATATCGTGTTTGGTAAGGTGGAGGGTCAGAGAAAAAGAGGAAGACCTCCAGTGAGATGGATTGGACAAGTGGCAGCATCCATGGGATCATGCGTGGCAACAATAGTGAGGTTGGCCCAGGATCGGGCAGTGTTTTGTTCTGCTGTGCATAAGGTTGCTATGAGTCAGTACCGACTTGATGGCACCTAACAACAACAACAACAACAACAACAACAACAACAACAACAACAAACATCTTTCTGATATTCTCTTCTTTCAGCCAAAATACATTTGATGCCAGCAATGATATCCCTCATTCCACATCCTCTTCTGAATCTGGCTTAAACCATTGGCAGTTTCCTGTCAATGTACTATTGCAGCTGTTTTTGAATTATCTTTAGCAAAATTTTGCTTGCATGTGATATTAATGATATTGTCCTATAGTTTCTGTGTTCCTTTGGGCCACCTCTCTTTAGAATGGGCATGGATATGGATCTCTTCAAATCAGTTGACCAGGTGGCTCTCTTCCAAATTTCTTGGCATAGATGAATGAGTGTCTGCAGTGCTGCCTCAGTTTCTTGAAAGATCTTAATTTGTATTCCATCAATTCTTGGTCCTTGTTCTTTGCCAGTGCCTTCAGTGCACCTTGGACTTCTTCCTTCAGTACCATTGACTATTGAGTGTATACTACTTTTTGAAATGGTTGAACATCAAGATTTCTTTTTAGTACAATGACTCTGTGTATTCCTTCCATCTTCTTTTGATGCTTTCTGCATCATTTAATATTTTGCTTAAGTTGTTCTTGTTAAATGTCATTAAATTGGCTCTGACTCTTAGCAACTCTGTATAGGGTTTCTGAGGAGCAGTTGGTGGGTTTGAACTAACTCCTGACCTTGTGGCTTGCAGTCCACTGTCATACCAGAAATCCATAGACTCCTTCAATATTGAAGTTGAGGTTTGAATTTTTCCTTCAGTTATTTTTCAGCTTGAGAAATTTTGAGCATGTTCTTCCCTTTTGATTTTCTAACTCCAGGTCTTCTTGACCATTGTTGCCAAGTTTTTAGACGAGTATTTATATTTGCCAATTTTTTTTTTGTGTTACACTTGAGGTGATCGCATGGCTTAGAGATGTTATTATGTAAATGTGGAAAATCTCATTAAACAGTTTCAAATGCTGTTGCATGTGTTCATGATAAATTAACATTTCCATATATCATTGAATTTGAATTAATATTTTCAGAGCTTTTGCATATGTGTTCATTATGGAGATTGATCGGTTATTTTCCTTTACTGTCATGATTTTCCCCATTCTTTTACTTTTGATCTATTTGTGTCATTATATTTGAAGTCAATTTCTTGTGGGTAATATCTAATTGTTTTTTTTTATTCAGACTTATAATATCTGCATTTGAAAAAATCTTGTGGTTTGAGTGAAATTTGTTTTCTGCATTTTAATGGAGCTGGTTGCATCTAATGCTATTATTGATAAGGCTGGAGATTATCCTAAAATTTAAACTTTGTATTGTGTTAGGTGTCCCTGAGTTAGTTACAACTAATAGTAATCCCTATGTATGATAGAATAAAACACTGCCCGATCCTGCACAAGCCACATAATTGCTGTTATATTTGAACCCATTGTTGCTGCCACTGTGTCAATCCATCTCATGATTGAATGTCTTTCCTTTGTTATTAATGCTCCATTTTACCAAGCATGATGTCCTTGTTCAGGGACCGGTCCTTCCTGACAACATGTCCAAAGTATGAGAGATGACTTGCTGTTCTTGTTTCTAAGGAGCATTCTAGCTGTACTTCTTCTATGACAGATTTGTTCATCCTTCTGGTACTTTCAATATTCTTTGCAGTCACCAGAATTCAAAGGCATCCATTCTTCTACAGTCTTCCTTATTCATTTTCCAGTAGCTTTCACATGC